AGCTAGCGAAAGTGGTTGCTATGGTAGCAAGTTCGACAACAGACATCGCTTTTCTGCTTTTTGAATGGGTCTTTGACTATTGATTATGCCTTTTTCCTTTCCATCTCCCTTTCCTGATGAAAAGGCTCGTTAAGACCTACCGCACAGAAGAGTCAAGACCAGGCTCCCTAATAGAATGTTTAACCGATCCATTCCGGATTGACCGTACGGTCTTTTGAATACCATTGCAGACCCAATCACACGGGAAAGAGTCAAGGAGATTATCATAGGGCAACTCGACTCTCTAAAGCAAAGGGTGCTGGTGATAGAAGAGAAGGAAGGGAATTCAAGTTTCCATTTTGAATTAGGTCTATAGTTGCTAGTTGCTTCACCCCAATATGTTGATTCAAGCAGGAGTAGGAGAAGCTGTATTGGATCGGAAGCCGATTTGCTTTGATTTCATAAAACCCTAACATTTCTTAAAAAATAAATAAAAAAATAAAAAAATAAAAAAAGATCCGCATTTTATTGTTTACATATTAAAAATGAAATCAAGAAAAAATATAGGAAAAATTGCATTAAATAATACCACCTTCCACCCGTCCGCTAAAAACAAGTTGACCTTTTGATTATCTCTAAATAATACCACCTTTGGAAGTTGTCCGCTTTAAACAAGTCATGACATGTTGTTGACTTGATTAATAGGTATATGGGACACGTGTCAATGTTTGATTGGGTTAAAAAAATTAGTTTTTTTTTTTTATGTAATATTTTAATTTTTAATAGGTAATAAAATTAATTATTTTTATTATTTTTGTAAATAAAAAAGAAAAAAAAATAACCCCCTCCCCCACTAGCCACCCCTTCCCCTCCCTGCCAAGGCTGCCAGCACCTCTTCCCGGTCATCTAGCGCCACAACCTCCTCCTCGCGCCGGAAAAGCCGACCCCAGCATCCCGCCCCCCAACCCTATCGCCCCCTCCCCTTGCATCCATAGCCACCCCCACCCTCATCTCCAAAGCCACATGAAAGCAACCCCGAAACCTACGCTATACATCTCGAAACCCAAAATCGGCCATAGGATGGGGGTTTTTGGTGGTTTTTCGATAAGGTGGGTGGGTTTTTTCTGGAATTAGAGGGGTTTGGGTGTTCGATTGGGGGGGTTTTCAGGTCACCCGAAGAGAGAATGAGAGGGTGGGCTGGTGAGATATAGTCGGGAAAGGAAGTGAGATGGGGAGGAGAGGGTGGTCGGAAGTCATGGAGGAGAAAGGGAAGGGAAGAGGAAAGGGGATTTCAGGTAGGGGTTTCAAGGGGAAGTGGAAGGGCGACCGAAAACGGAGGGGAAGGAGGGTTGCTAGAAATGGAGGGGATGGTGGCTGCCACTAATGGAGGTGGAGGGGGAGGGGCTGTTAAAGGTGAAGAGGGGAAGGGGGGAGCGACGACCGACAACACGGGTGTGGGGGAAGGAGGAGGTTGCAGTTGGTGCCAGATTTCGCTCTGTAGTAACAGTAGCCTAGCGTGGATGGGCGTATGGTCGGTGAAGTGACTGGCTACAGGTGGCTGGGCTCTATCCTGGCTGCCGTTGCGGGCTACTGCGTTGGCTGGAGTCTTATCTGGCTGACGTGGCAGCACAACAGATTTAAAAAAAAAATTCATTTATTTTAAAAATAAAAATCAGTTTTAATTTTAAAAGATATTATCAAAATATTTTAATTGTAATTAACAATCATTAAAGTTATTATTAAGAGTTAATTACATTATTAAACGAAGTTATTAAAAAAAAAAAATTAACCGGTCATTCAGGTTGCAGGTTAAATAACTTGTTTAAAGCGGACAACCTCCAAAGGTGGTATTATTTAGAGTTAATCAAAAGGTCGACTTGTTTATAGCGGATAGATGAAAGGTGGTATTATTTAATGCAATTTTTCCAAAAATATATAATCTTGTGTCTTTCTAAAAAAAAAACCCCGTATGTCACAAATTATGTTAAGAATATTTGGGAAAGATACATTATCAAATCTTCTCCTATACTCAATCTATAAGTAATCATTATTATTATATGTATATTTGTTTCTTAAATTGTTTTTTTTTTCAAAA